CTGAAAGTCTCACAGCAACATCAGTTTAAAAACGCTTTTGAAGCCGTTCTATTCCAGAAATTCGCTATTTTAACAGTTACTCATCAACCCAGGTTGAGTGAAAAGAGAAAAGAAAATTGATGATGAGGAATAATCAGTCTCCCCTTCAGGAAAACTGTTATACTCCTCTTCTCCTGCCATTATCTTCTATTTAAAAATTAAATAGGAAGATGTAGTGTTTCAGGTGGTAAAAACAAATCATAAAAGTTTCCTTTTTCTGATATATTTACTCTTATTCAGTGATCTAGCAATTAAACGTGTATTATCTTTTCAGCAAATGAGTAAACTTATCAACTCTGTGAATATCTGAACTGTATCTTTTAAAAAGTTTCTAATTCTTTATTTTGCACCTCCATCAGAGGAATTACCAGTGAATAAAAAAATGTTTTGGTAAATGCCTTTCTCGCATAAATACCTTAATCACTTTTTAAATGCAAGATAACAGTAATAATTCAGCTTGAAGAACGTTTATTAACTCCAAAATGCGTCTGACAGACATAAGCACGTCTAATTTCACCAAAAATAACCTAAAACGAAGTGAAACTGTGATTTCAAGTTTCTACAGGAGGGGGCAGTATTAGCTTTCTACCAGCAGGAGCCTATGACAACTTCCTGTGGACGTTCTGTTGACATCCTGTCGTTAGCCGCTTAGCTTAAAATTAGCTTCGGCTAAACTCGGTGAAATCAACATTTCTTAACGTATTTCAAGCTAAAACGTAGCGTTGTTTCAACAAGCACAACTTCTTTGCATGAAACATGAGTTTTGGGGACATGTGGCAAATTTTATTTAGTGATTTTAAGCACAGAAAAGGCTTTGGTTCAACCGAGCTCATTTCCGGGTCACGTGACTGAATCTACCAATGACAGAACAGCAACGGGGATGGGTTCTTATATCGCTGACTCAGAGGAAGTGACGCAGACACGTCACTCAGTTCTCAGCGTATCACAGCGTCCCAACTCAGCCGTTTTCAACCAATCACAGATCGTTTTTCCAGCTAGCGTGTAGCATTAGCCTGAAAAAGTCCGTCAACTTTTCGTCTTTTAAACTGTCCAAATGTACCATTTTCTGTTAAAAATGTAACGAATCAACTCTCAAAGCTGCACGGAGTCGGTGCTCCGGTCTTAAAACGTCTCTCCAACCATTTAAAACAACTCGTTCGAACTCATCAGAACCGAGCCGGACCAGACCAGAACCACGTCTGGAACACAGTTTAAACAGAATAAAGCGTTTTAACACAAACCCAGCTTCAGTTACACACAACAGACGTACAATTTCAGCTTTCAAAAAGACTCATTGACTCTATTTCAGCTCTCAAAACACCACAACTGCAAGCTTTCTCTGAGCATCTCAGCTCAACACGCTGCGTTTCACACAGCTACAATCTGCACTTTTTTCATTTCATGCCAACATGTAAAATCAATTGTTACACGGATACAACAGTCCATTTATGAAGCGTACGAGGCCACCAGTATGTAGATGAACATATGCTGTATATATATTCATAGATTAAACGGATTCTTTCATTTTTCTGGACTGTATAATGTCGTGCATTGAATAGTTAAAAATGTAGCGTGAGACGTTAATTATCTTTGGCCCATCAAAATGAACGTGGTCATTTATTTTCAGAATCAAAATTTAACATCACACATTTACATTAATTTGGCAAAAATTGAAAATAACAACAGCTTATTTAGGCTAGTTTTACAAGGAGGAAACAATACGGCGATTGTTTCCCTTGCTTCCAGCTGTACAACAGACATTTCTAAAAATATCTGGAATGATTTCTAGCAAAAAGAAGAATTTTAAAGATGGAAAATTAAGTTTAAGTTGAGAAAGATGGGGAGGGAATTTGTCTGTTATACCAGAACAGCACGCTCCTTCTAGACCAGCTTGACCCAACGGTACACTTTGGTTGAGATCCACTCTTTACCTTTGCAGATGATAGTTTCAGCGTTGGTGTAAAGCTTTCCTTTCAACTCTTCCAGCGTCTCCGTAAGAACAGCTAAACCTCAGGAGTCGTGAGGTCATCCCAGAACAGACATTTCATAATTCCCTGATCTTCTCTCGTTCAGCTTATTTTTCTTCCTCCAGCATCCTGAATTCCAGCCTTCTGAACTCTGGAACTGCTGGAACCAACTCACAGCATTCTCTCAGCGTTCTCCTCAGTGTTCTTCCCAGAACTGCCGAGAACTTCTCAGAACTACTGAGCTCTCCAGAACTTCGACTGGAGCTGGAACCTCTGTAGAACTGCGGTGAACTAGGAAGTGTTGCACCTTTTAAAAAAGGTCACTTCCGGTTCATTTGAGAACTTTCTGATTGGTCGATGGACCAAAACAGAGGTGTGTTTTTGTGATGTAAGGTGTTATTAAAAAGTCAAGGAAAAAGATTAAGTGTTTAAGAACAGACAGAAGATTGTTATGAAGAACTCAGACTTCGTGGAGTCAATTCTCTAGTATCTGCCTGAAAAAGTTAAACATGACATTTCTTTTTCAGTAAACTTGCAGTTGACCGAAACTTGAACTTTGACCAACTTACACAACTTGCTCATTTCAGACAGACGATCAAGAAATTGAATCATTACTCTGTAACATATTCTAACTTGATTTCCACTTTGAATGAGGATTAAAAATCGTTATTACTGTTTCACAATTGATTTAAAATGAGTAGTTCACTTCAACATTTGGAAATGGTTTGAACTAAACACAATTTGATTGTAGTGAGTCACGTGAGGTACGTGTCACTTGTTGTATGACAAATATATGGATATATATTTATGCATACTTTTCACGAGTTCTTCATTTTTCTGACTGTGTAATGCCGTGCATTGAATTTAAAGGAATGTAACGAGAGACGTTGTTTATCTTTGACCCATCAAATGAATGGAATCATTTATTTTCAGAATCAAAGTTTAACATCAAACATTTACATTAATTTGGCAAAATATGAAAATAATAACAGACAGTTTCACAGAAAATGAACTTCAAATCACTCGGCGGTGATTTGAGGACTTTGCTTCAGACATTTCTAAAAATATCTGTACTGATTTATGAGAGAGAAGAGTTTAAGATGAAAGGAGATTATCTTACAGAGAACTGTGTGAGGGAATTTAATCTGTTTGACCAGAAGTTGCACGCTCCCATCAGGTATCTCAGCTTTGCCCACGGTACACTTGGTCGAAGAAGTCTTTACCTGGTTTGACGATGGATCAGCTCAGTAAGCATCCTTCAGACTGTTTCAGCGCCTCCGTTAAGAACAGCTAAAAATCCTCGGAGAGTCGTGCGTGGTTAGCTCAAAACAGAATTATAATCCCAAACGTCCCTGGTTCTTCATAACTCCAAACTCTTCATAACTCTTGGACTCTTCATTGCTCTGAAGCTTTCAGAACCGGCTGCACTCTCAATCAGCTCTCATTCCAACATCTCTCAGAACTCTCATTCTCTTGGAATTCTGGAAAATCTCGAATTCTCTCGAATTCTCTCTTGAACTGGGAAGTTGTCACATTTTTAAATGAGTTTACTTCCTGTTCAATTTAGAGCTTTCTGATTCGTGGAAGGACCAGAAAGAGGAGTGGTTTTGACGTAAGGTGTTTATCAACAGTCGAGGTCAGAGAATGAAATTTGTTTTCACATACAGAAAAGATTATTGCAGCAACAGCAGACTTCGTGGAGTCAACTCTTGGTAATCTTCTGAAAAAGTTTAAACATGACATTTTTCTCGGTAAACATTTTAGTTGACCGAAAACCAACCTTTCACACACTTACGACAGCTTGCTCATTTCAGACAGAAAATCAAGGAATGCTTATTCAGGTGATTTCTTCTCTGAATGAGGGATAAAAATCATTACTTACTGTTTATGTAAAATAAAAATGAGTAGTTCTTTTCAACCTGTAAAGCATTGAGTGAACTAACACAATTTGATTATCAAAACATTTGTAAAACAGTAATGATTATAGAGGATTGTCTTTTCTGCTTGATTAATTCAAGAAAGAAAGTTCATCAGATGGCCCAGACTTATTCAGATCAATGAAAATAACAGTCTCTGTCCATCTGGTAGATTTGAGGTCATCTGGTTCACTACATGATTATCAAAACATTTGTAAAATAGTAATGATAATAGAAAGTAGTGTTCTTTCACTTGATTAATTCAAGAAAGAAAGTCTCAGGATGGGTCAACCTGTATTTCTGGATTCAAATCAATGAAATGACAGTTTCTGTCCCATAAGGTCCTTAAGGTCAGGATTTGACCTCAGGCCTAGTTCACTACAACACCAATGTGGTTCTTATAAGCCACAACAGGAGGTTTACTGAGGGTCAATGCAAAAGAAACACTGGGAAACAAAACAAGGCCTAAATCAGAATACTCAAAATAAAACCCTTACACTGAAATATAAAAACACAAAATATCTAAACCGAAAAAGAAAGCACAACAGAACCCAAAGGACAAAAATAAATCGTGAAAATAATACTAAAATAAACTTCAAAGACTAAATAAAATCACAGAAAATTATAGATTCTACAAAAATATGCAAACAAGTAAAATATAATTCTAGTTTTATCAGAATGTAATTTGTTACATCATATGGGTTTATAAATTGAGCGTGTCCATCAGAGGACTTTCTAAAAATTTTAATGAGAATCACCCCCCCCCCCCCCCCCCCCCCCCAAACTTGCAGGTTCAGTTTAGGAACATTTGTTAACAGTATGCATCCATTTATAAAAAACACAATATGCTTAGGAATATATGTTAATAAGCTTGTAAAGTATACCACAGTGCAGCTTAGAATTAATTTTTATCTTTCCATTTCTGACAAGTCTACCAACCATATTTCCTGGAAAAAATACAGCATACACATTTTAAAACAGGAAGTGTCTCAGCCACATGTGGCATATTTCTTTGTCAAGACTGAACAGCAGTACACTTGTCTAGAGGGGAAACTCTGTCAACTGCAGACTAGAAACAATGAATACTACATCTTGTCAAGACATCAGTTTTACCTTTCCAAAAAAGTTTTTGCCTCCTGTCTTTATCTTAGTGTTCATCGTTGGACTGGTAGCTAATGGATGGGGACTGAAGTCTTTGCTGCACAACTGGAAGAAACTGGGGAATGTCAATGTCTTCATTCTCAACCTTGGACTTGCCGACATTTTGTATCTGCTGACACTTCCTTTTCTGGTGGTGTACTACTTAAAAGGAAATGTGTGGATCTTTGGAGATGTTTTCTGCAAGGTAACAAGATTCTGCTTCAACCTGAATTTGTACTGCAGCATTGGCTTCCTCACTTGTATAAGTGTGTACAGATACCTGGCCATTGTCCATCCAATGAGAGTGATGGGAAGGATAACTGTGTCTCACACTGTGATCATCTCAGCCATGGTTTGGATCCTGGTGAGTGTTCAAAGTCTTCCAGACATGTTTTTCCCCAAATCATCAAGCAACATGACTGGGGAATGTTTTGATACCACCTCCAATGAATATGTTGAGGATTACCTGAAGTACAGCTTCAGCTGGACAATTATTGGATTTGGTATCCCCTCTCTCATCACATTGGGCTGCTATGGACATGTGATTACTGTTCTCTTCTGCAAAGACAACATTAATCAGGTACTGAAGCAAAGAAGCTTGAAGTTGCTGATCATTTTAATTCTTCTTTACTCTATTTGTTATATTCCTTATTATACACTCAAGAACCTCAACCTTTGGTCAAGAATTCTGTCTAAACACAAAATATGCCACCAATGGGCCGATGGAGTCTACATTGCTCATCGCATCAGTCGTGGTCTTGTATGTCTGAACAGTGCTCTGAATCCTCTGGTTTACCTCCATGTAAATGAGGAAATTTCTGCTCAACTCAGACAGCTGCTCCAGAGGTTCCGCCAAGCTGCCACCCAACTGTATACCAACAATCAATTTCATAACATGACAATCTTATAGTAACATTGCAAAATTTCAGACAACACACGTACTGACAAGGTTCAATGTTTATATTCATGTGTGTCATATGTCTTTTAAAATGCTCAAAAAGCTTGATTTTTATTAATAAAAATGTTGCTATGTTTTCATTGTTGTGTGAGGAGGCTAAATGTTTTGCAAAAGAGAAAAACTGTTAAGTGAAAAGGTCCTCAGTGTGTAGCAGTGAGCAATAGACACTGACCTGTCACTGGTTTGTAACTGGTCTTTTGACCTGGAAATTATTTGTTTATTTTTCGGTAAGAAAACTGCTTGGAATAGAAAAATACCAAAGTTAAAAAAATAAAACTCACGATTTGTACTGTAATGTGTAACGTAATTTTATTCTTGTTAAAATTAGTAGTAATTACAAAATTGGTATCGAAAAAAGAACCGTCCAGGAACCGACACCGAAGTGAAGGTACCGACACCGGTACCGATACCATTTTTTTTAGAAAGGTACCCAGCCCTAATTGTTATGCTGCTATATATAGGCTTGGACTACTAGAAAACAAATTGATCTTGTTTCCTTAAATGAATTGTTAAAATTGAATAGTTTTCATTTGATATTATTTCTATCTTAACATGTGATTCTTGACCTGCCATTGTGTATCTGTTCCTACCAAATCCAGCTGGTCAAAGCAGATGATCACTTGTCCTGAGCCTGGTTCTGCTAAAGGTTTCTTCCTCATGAGAGAGTTTTTCCTTTCCACTGTTGCCTTCATGCTTGCTCAAGATGAGAGTTCTGTGACGGAGTTAAAGTCAAAGCAGTCTGCTCCTCAGATAAATAATGTTAAATTATTATTTTTATATATGAATGTTTCTGTTCAGTGCCCTGAGACGACTTCTGTTGTTACTTGGAGCTTTATAAATAAACTGAATTGAAATTAATTAAAGCATGTACAAACATGACATGATATGTATAGTGTAGAATGTAAACTGTTACAATAAATTCACTGTATTGTTCCCCCAGATGTATTTGTGTAGAAGTGGATGATTTCAGTGCACAACGCTGAATGCATTACAAAATCACAAGGTTGAAATTAATTGTTAAATGAAAACAAATGTGACTTTATAATTTAATGGAAAAAGGTAAATTTAAAACTTTAAAATTCAGAACCACTAGAAAAAGCTTTTGTATAACAGTATGTGGGCAGAAGCTGTGGAATGGTTTAAGCATAGAACTGAAGCATTGTCAAAACAAAAAAACAGTTTAAAACGTCATTTAAGAAGATTCATCACTGCAGATCAATATGGGAAATAATGACACTTATTACTGCTATTATACATTTTGTTAATAATTAAAGAATTTATCAATTATTACTGCATTATGATATATTGAGCTAGAAAGAATTTTAACATGTTAAAAAAATTATTGATGCTTGATCATAATGGCATGCAAATATAAATGCATTGTACCAGTTATAGATATGAATATATAAAATATTAAAAAAGAATGTTATAACCAATTATCATGAATAGTAAATTATTGGATGATGCTATAGATGTAAGAGGGGTGGGTGTAACAATAACTTATTGTTACACCCACCCCTCTTAGATAAAAGAAGAAGTTTTAGAAGTATAAACTTATTGAATAAGTTTATACCTCTACCCACTCCTTTGAACGTGTAAGTATACTTTACTACGGTTGTTTTTTTCTGCTTGCTTTTGTTTTGAATTTATTTTCTTTTTATATAACTTTGTTTATTCTTTTATTACACTTTGTTCAATAAAGTTAAACTCAAACTCAAATCATTCACTCACCATCAGAAGTCTTCATAGTAGGACAATCCCTTGTTGTTGTGAAATCTGTGTCCTCTGAAATCATTTCAACACCTCACCTCCTTTTAGAAAATGCCGACAATCAAAGCAAAACACTTCATCTCTACCCACATTGTATTCCAACCACAAATATTGACCGAGCCAGTCTTTGTTAAAACTTCTCTGTTGCACTCCAAATAGGTGTGACGGATATTTTTGCAGAAGTGGTCGTCTTGGTCCATCTCGAGGACTTCTGCTTAGATCCTCCAGCTGTCCAACGCTAGCAGTGTTAGTATTCTCCGCAGATGTGGAAGGATGGCAGTACGCTTGATTCCCTTCTTCCATATTATTGTTTCTTTGTTGTTTGCAGTCTGCTTCCAAAAAAATCCCCCTTCTTTGATTCCATTCTGGGCAATTTGGCTAACAGGAAACAATCCATTTTTGCATTTCGTGCACTTTTCAAATGTTTACCGGAACTTCCGGTCCGGAAGTGAAAATTGAAGTTCACTTCCTGTTGCTATATTGGATTTTTATTTTTTTTTACTCGATATAATCTTTGATTGTTTTTATTTTTTTTAATTAGTTGTATTTTGTGAAGAAAATATCACAACAACCACATATTAAATAATATTAACTTAGATGAAAAAGAAAATAATCTGATGTTTTCTTGGGGGTGCTACCTATAGCATCCCCCTGGCGCCACCGCTGGATATGGCTGCAAAGCATGGTTTTCTGTGGTGAAAATTTTTCAAACAACAAAAACAGTGTTGAGTCAAGTAATGCAAACAAATCTACTCCACCAACTGTTTTTGAAGGTGGAGATTTGGTCAATGTATTTTTTTTACCACAAGAATTTACCCATTGTGCTGCTGACATTGGAATCCATCCATTCATCCATCCATCCATCCATCCATCCATCCATTATCTTTACCTGCTTATTCCATTTTGGATCACGGGGGTCGCCGGTGCCCATGTCCAGCAATCACTGTGCGAGGGGCGGGGTACAACCTGGACGGGTCGCAAGTCCATCACAGGGCCACATAGAGACAAACAACCATTCACTCACACCTAGGGACAATTTAGAGTTACCAATCAGCCTAACATGCATGTTTTTGGTTTGTGGGAGGAAACCAGAGCACCCGGAGAAAACCCACGCATGCACGGAGAGAACATGCAAACTCCACCCAGAAAGGTCCCTGGACCGGGTTTGAACCAGGGACCTGCTCGCTGAGAGGCAGCAGCTCTACCAGTTGTGCCACCGTGCTGCCCAAGACATGTATCATTTATGTAAAATACAGATATATAACTAAATAGAATAATAAGAAAATTGCATTTACAAAAAATTACAATAGGGTTATAGCCTACAACACCTTATAAGTACTTGGCCCAAGCAGTCCCACGTGTTGTGGCAGGTGTGTCCAGTTTGTAAAGGCAGATGGGGTGTAGTCTTTAAAAAATAATACCCTCAATAAATAGCTCTTTTTTAATAAATAATCTTAACTACTTAATTTATCTTACGGTGTATTGTTTTGGTCTGTGTGTTTGTCTCTCTGTGTGTGTATGTGTGTGTATGTGTGCACATGTCTGTGTGTGTTTTAACAATTTAGACTGTTTTAAATGGGATTCAAAATGTTTTTGGTGATTAATTATCATTCATTCAACTTTTATTTACACAGGTTAATCTCATTGAGCCTTGAGGACTCATTTACAAGAGATATCTGTTTTTAACAAAGAATGATGACAACAGTAGACAATCATAAAAAAAAGCATATAAAATGTACCATTGTGAGAGTCTACGTGAAGTTAATGATGACCAGTTAACCAGTGAATACAGGGTGCAATGGTGGGTATGGTAGTTACACGGTAGTGTTCGCAGTTCAGAAAGTCTGTTGAAAAAAGGAATCAACAGGATGTAGACAACATCAAAGTTACTGACTGCAACAAACCTGTTGCACATCAAAGTTTAACACAGGAAGTTGACATATACAAAGAAGGTGAAGTCTAAAAAAGTTAAATCGGGTCCTCTGGACATTCAAAAAAAACAAAACAAAGCAAAATCAACAAAAAAATGTAGAAACGTTTCGTCTCTCATCCGAGAGACTTCCTCAGTCTGAGGTGCTGTATTCAGCTCAGTCTCTTAAATAGCACCATCTCAGGGTGGATCAGCCAGTTTTGCTGCTGACAACCAAAACCAGCTGATCACATGCTCAAGAAGGACCATCAGCATAACAATAGATCATTAGCACACTGATGGCTGTTTACTGTTCACAGAGGGCTGAGTGATACTAGCAATCACAGCATTGTAAGAGGGGGACAGTTGAACCCGGAGGCCTCCACCCCTGTTTAATGATGGACGATTTCTTTTCACAAAGATGGCCTCCTTTACTCCTCTCTCAAACCATCGTTCCTCTCTGTCCAGGATGTGCACATCTTCATCCTTGAAAGAGTGACCGCTGGCCTGGAGATGAGTGTAGACCGCAGAGTCCTGGCCTGATGATGTTGATCTTCTGTGCTGGGCCATCCTTTTGGCCAGTGGCTGTTTTGTTTCCCCGATGTAGGACTGATCACAGCCCTCCTGACACTGAACAGCATACACAACATTGCTCTGTTTGTGCCGGGGGACTGGATCTTTGGGATGAACCAGTCTTTGCCGTAATGTATTTTGGGGTTTAAAAGCCACTGGGACGTTATGTTTAGAAAATAAACGTCTCAGTTTCTCTGATACTCCCTCAACATATGGAATGACCACTGGTCTGGATCTGGGTTCCTCCTTTTCACCTGTTGGCTGACTGGAGTCCTGTTTGGGTTTCTTCTCTGCTTTCAGGAAGGCCCAGTTAGGATATCCACATTGCTCTAGAGCCTGTCTTGTGTGGGATTTCTCCTTCTGCCTGGCTCCTGAGCTAGTGGGGACGCTGTCTGCTCTGTGATACAGAGTCCTGATGACTCCTAACTTGTGCTCCAAAGGGTGATGGGAGTCAAACTGCAAATACTGGTCTGTGTGTGTGGGTTTGCGGTACACCTCAGTTTGCAAATGTCCTCTATCAGAGACTGAGACCTCACAGTCCAAGAAAGCCAACCTGCCATTTTTTACATCTTCTCGTGTGAACTTGATGTATTTATCCACAGAGTTGATGTGGTCAGTAAAATGTTGGACTTCCTGAGATTTGATTTTAACCCAGGTGTCGTCAACATACCTGAACCAATGACTTGGTGGTGTCCCTGAA